CAGTGAGAAAGTTTGTTTATTGTGGTATTAGAGATGGAACCCAGGGTCTCCATTCAGTTGCTCAATCATTGACCTATATCTATCTGTATGGTAACAGGTGTTTTTAATAATGGCTTACATTTCCATTTTTGACAACACCAAGTCCCAGTAAATATGTGGAGAGCAATTCCTGCATCCCCACATCTCTACATTCTTTCCAAAAGCTAATAGAGCTAGAGACTGTTGAGCACTTCAACCTCAGACTACACTGAGCACTTTCTCACTGAAGTGAGAAAGCTGTCAGCAGACACAGTAGGAAGTTCATGTGCATCCATCTGCCTCTGTCTCCCTCCTCTCTCCAGCTCTGACCCTCAGACTCTTGCTTCCTCTTTTAAAGACACTTGTGGTGGCTGGAGAGATGGCTCAGCAGTAAAGAGCACTGACTGCTCTTGCAGAGGACCCAGATTCGATTCCCAGAACCCACATGGCAGCTATGAACCGTCCTTAACTCTAGTTCCAGGGGAATCCAGAGCCCTCTTCTGACCTCCGCAGCATTGCATGACACAGGTGCACTCACATACATGCAGGCAATATACTCATACACATAAAATAACAAAAATAATAAATAAAATATTTTAAAGACCCTTCTGATAGCATTGGCCAACCCACACAATCTAGTATCATCTCCCCACCTCAAGGTAGGCCATTGCCCACCTGAACTCCCCTTGCCCTGTAATGTGCCATGGACACCATCATGTGCCTGAGATGAATCACAAGAATGTCATTGTGCACAGGACTTTCCCAGAGGTGTTGTGTTCATCAAGCAATGTAGCAACTGTGTACTTGGGGTGGTATCATGATTTTTGGAGTTCTGAATTAAGAAGGAGGATAGGATTATGGGATACATTTTCTGCCCGTGGACACTTATAGCCAACATCTCTGACCAGAATCTTTGTCAGTCACTCGGTCCGTGCCTGTTACTATCATGTACTTGAGGAAGGTGGTTTGAATTGTGGCATGCTGAATTAGGAAGATGTAAGCACCTGCCTTGGGCTGAGTCCTGAGGTGTGTGTGTGTGTGTGTGTGTGTGTGTGTGTGTGTGTGTGTGTGTGTGAAGTCAATGCGTCCTTTGCATTCACTGCTTTCCAAGCCTTTGGCTAACTCTGCAGCTTCTGCTGCTCGTCACTGTGGTTTAAGGAGCTTTTTACCTCACTGATATTGACTTGGCAGTGTTTGTGGAAGCAGAGGTGTCCATTGTTTGCAGCCTATTTTCTATCTTGACTGATTTCCCCTCTACTGAAATGAAAAAAGCCTCTATTATCAAAAGGGGACATGCTTCTTTATGTTCATGTCCATAATGGCTCGTTGTGGACACCTACAGTTTTTAAAATGATTTTAATGTGAATTTCAGGTTTTCATGGTTTCAAATTATGCAGTAAGTTTAGCAAAGAAAGATAGTTTACACTTTGAGAACCAATTCCTGAAGGGCAAAAAAAATTTGCTAAAACTACACCAGCCACCTTCTTCCTGCCCCCAAGGGAATCAGAAATTCTGCTCATTGCTCTGTGGGTTTGACAAGGAAAGTCCCTTGACCCATCCTACCCTGGGCCAGCACCCAGGAGGGGATCTGAGAGGTCTGAGAAAGGCTCTGCAGAGGCGCCTGAACTCATTCAGTGGGGTTTCTCTGGTCACGCTGCAGCTTGCCCCATCTTCCCCCATCACTCAGACCTATCACTGAATGGGTAGACTTTCCAAAAGTCCCGTACAAGAATAAGAATGTCAGCTCCCCTGTTCTAACTTTGTCCTGTAGCATGATCACAGCATTATATGGTAGGTCAGTGTAAAGGTGGAGGGGGAGACAGGAAACGACTGTGGTGGAGTGGGCAGGTGAGGTGTCGCTACACACACAGTCAAACTGACAGCAGTCTCTCTTCTCACAATTTGAGACAGTTCTGAGAAATGAATTCACATCACTTGGAGGCTGCAGGCTTCCTGGGAAATGTTGAGATGTGTATGAACAAAACCCACTTACTGCCGAATGAAGTAGGGCAAGGTTCTGTAGACGGCCAACACGTGCAGGGAAAAGATGTGAAGTCACAAAAGACGAGAAGAACTTAACAGTAGAAGTCCCGACAGACCTGATGTGCTGACGAGGGGCAAACACCACTGATGTCTGCTGCTTCTTCCTGTCCGCGCTCTCCTGGCTCCCTCTATGATAATGACCAGAACTTGGTGGGGATTTGGTGGAAGCCAAGAGCTATGAAACAGCATAGTGTGGTTTGTAGTGAGGAAGAAAGGGA